GCTCCGATAGTAATCATTATAGCAAAATTTAAAACAAAGTTGGGGAGATTTTGTGCAAGTTTTTGACATATAACACCTGAAACTTATCTTGTGCCTTTAATACTTATAGGACTCCATGATTGTCTAGCCGCTAAATGGAACCTTATAAAATACCTTTGAATGATGAAGACTAGATATAGGAAGTTGAAATCATGGAGTAGGGGTAGAGCCAAAAATGTCGACGGTGATGTGACTTGGCACACTGAACAGCAAATGAATTTTAGGTGCGACGCATAGTGCATCTTTCTCGTGTGTATACTGTCATTGTAAAAACTTCCAATGTTGACATTTCGGACGAGTTGCAAGCAGAAATATTGGATAATATTAATAAACCACAAAGTAATAAACCTACAAAGTATGGCAAAACGCTCTATGCTATGTTCTACGCTCACTATATTTCTGAGAGCCACACCATCCTTGACGACAGGATTTGGTTCATACTAATACAGCCTAACCTCCTTTTCGTAGCTTGAATTACTTTTTACAGGACCGTCCAGGCTGATGCTGCAACTGTCACTTGGAAGATAGATAAACATAACATATATTGTCTCATAAGACCCTCAATCACCTACGCACGCGCGGCTTGGTGTTTTCTTGCCAAGACGCACATGCAGAGACTGCAAGTTCTGCAAAACAGAACCCTACGCACAATTACTAAAGCCCATTGGTACGTGTCAAATGAGACCAATCACACCATCTTGATATCCCATATCTAAGTGATTACGTAAAACAACAGGCGCAGCGGCGTTATAATCAAGCGGAATCGCACAGCAACACTCTGTTGCGTGATTCAGTAGACTACACAGTCGAGCAAGTTCGCAAACATTCCAGGCCGCGCCTTGCACTGTGATCAAAATTAAATTGTAAATTCAGACCAGCCAAAATTCTTTCGGTATACAAAACCGATCAAAATTATTTTTTGAAGTTACAAAATAATTCGTGTAGTCAAGGCAATAATGCTTAAGCTATTTCAAATTAATTACTTCTTTTCTTTGCTCTATTTCTTCCTTCCTTTCTTTCCTTCCTTCCCTTCTCCCCTTAAACATGTTTTGTATCTGGGTAGCCAGACCTGTCAGGCTAACAGACGAATAATGACGAATAGTAGTAGTAACATATATTGTCACTGTCATTTACTTTGAAAAGGTCGTCGCGGTGGTCGGAACAGTAGTAGTTAAAAGTAATTCAGGCATATGTGGTTGCATTTAGTACTCAATCATGGAGTCCTATGGCCATTTTTGTTTTAGAATAGTGGGAAATTAATCTCTACAAATTGACATAACAGCTAAGATTCTATGGAACGCTCTGACTATGAATGATGACTTGAAAGAAATTCTCATTTGCTTCCACTTTTCTCGAATATTTTGATGAAAGCCGTACAAACTGTATCATTCGCGAAAAGATATAACACTCAATTGATGGTGAAGTACTTAATTTAGCTTAGTACTATCGGAATGCTGTCATTTGCCATTGGCCTGCTAATAGATGATTTTTAACTTGATGACAAAAACAGATGTACCTATGTCGCATAACTAACGCAGTCGGTTTACAGTACAAGTTATTTCTTCATCCCTTTTGTGGAAAATATATATATATATATATATATATTGATGTCACTACGTTCTTAATTCGCCACCATTTGAATGTAACTGTGTTTTTACAATTGATGCAATATTTGTGACTTGCAGCAGAATTAATCGGAAAATAAGCGATATTTTTGAATATGAGATTTGTTTCCCACTAACTTTTTTTTGAGAATATTTACTTGTTTTAGTTTAGTTGTAGTAGTTTCATACAAATACAAATAATAAACTTATATAAAAACAATAAGAAGCCTCATTGAACCCAGAGTATATCAGAATCAAACACATGTGCCACATCAGAGCTCCAAAAAAGCACTATTTTTGAATATAATCAACTCACAGTGACACTTTTGATAATTTCTTGTGAACCAAAGTGCATCAGACGAAATGAACTCCAGAAATTTTTGGACGAAATCCGTGTTCCGGTCCTGACGAACCCTGCTTGTGAGGTAAGTTACCAAGATCTCCAGAATGTAAATATGATAAAACGTCAAAAAATATATTATTTATTAGTATCCGTCAGACGTCCATCATTAGCTCTTTATCTGAGCAACATTCGCATTGATTGCTGCTAGATACACATATATCAATTTGCTTGAATTTTTCTTTATAGCATGTAACATCTGGTGAGATTAACATATCATAGTAGTGCTATGCCGTCTACCTAATCAATGTTATGGATTCGTATTTTTAGCATATCAGTTTCATGCTTCAAAATAGTCCGCAATCTCTTCCTTTTAGATTACATGTTAGTGATGTAATCAATAATAGTGTAGTCGATTTGTAGAAGATATGTAAAAGTGTGAAGAAATTCTTACCAGCATGAAATAATTCAAATTACATTTGTTTCAGAGTTACAGTTTATCTTTGGGGAACAATATATAGGCAAAATTGAGAAATACTTACTACTTTTAATGCGATAACATTAAGGTAAACATTTGTATGCCTGTCTTTGAATTCGTCAAGAAAAGCATCGTTGATTAATTACATCATCAGCTCCCCAAAATTTTAGCCCACTCTCCTAATGTTGGGTCAATAAGGGTTAGGACTATTCTCACCTATAGATACTTCATGGAACATACAATGGACGTGTTCCACGCATCGCCAGCAGTCGGATTGGTATGTAGAATAATGTAACTTAAATCTTGGGATTGTATATTTTAGTATAATTTGAGAGTTTGTGTTTTCAACTCAAATATTAAGTGTAATCACGTGTGTATTGATTTACATTGTTAGCAATATTACAACGATACCTTTATCTATTATAGAACTAATCCTAAACGCAAGAACATACGTTTAATTTTGTACTGATTGTAATTTATCTGTCAGATAATGCCAGGAAACAATACTCCTATTAAGGACAATGAAATGCGGCACTTGCTAAATACATTTTATTTTCTTAAAGTGTGTTTTTGGTTTCGGTCAAAAAAGGACAGATGTACCTTAGGCAAATGTCAACTGATCAGTATTTATTGTGATCTATCAATATTTATAAATGGAATGTTATATTTATGACTGTGTAGCCAGGACCTCAGTAACTACGTTATTGATATTTATAAAGTTACGTATACATTCACTAACACTGACATAACGATCAGTTAGTATTGATCCTATGACGTTTGCCTCATCATTTTGGTCAAAAGAATATGAGATGTAAGATTAATATTTGTACTGACCCTTTGTTTTAGGGTTGCTTAAGTTAAAAAAAAAACATAAAAATTAATAAGTTGCAAGTTCGAAATATTTACGAAATTATTTTTGCTAACTTTAATGAGAAATTTTCTTATCCGTTTCTTTCTCCGTTCCTCGAAACTTCTCTGTGTCGACGTGATGATCCATAGGCGTGGTTCAGGAACTAAAAAGTCGGGCCAAAAGTCCAAAAAAGTGTATAATCAAGTAGTTTTACGGTTTAAAATAACCAGAATATTGAGATGTGGTATCATATTGTCAGAATATGACCGTTGAATAGTTTGAGCAATGGCTTGCCGAATAGCTTGTGTTAAGTTAACAACTTGTAAAAAAGCTACGAAATGTCAAAAAAACCTATGAAATGTCAAAAAAAATCGACGAAATGTTACTTTTTAAGATACGTAATACCCGTGCCGGTAAGCTTTAGAAATTATATGGATTTAGTGTTAATGGGTTTTTCATTTGGTGGGTCTGATTTCATAAAAATTAATTCGTTATTAAATTTTTGTTGTATTATATCCCAAACGACAACTTAGGCGAACCATAACAACACTAATTTCAATCAATTTAGTTCATTCAAATATATACTCGTAGGTGTACATAAAAAAATTAACTTTTTCGTAATAACGGCTTTGGAGACAAAATCGCAAATGTCCGGCGTTCAGCTGAGGTGCGTTCGTAAATCAGTTGGTAATGTAATGCCGTACACAGTAATAGAATGTGGATTGACAAATAAGATATTATCCTGGAATCCTGCGTAACTTTGTTTTTATAACGTCCGCAAGCTCTTCCGTAAAAGTCACTTGTTTATAAATATATGAAAAACAATAAATGAATAATGTCACGTTCTTGAACTTGTATTATCATACTTTATACCAACCTATTACATTTTCACGAAAAATTTAATGTCGGCAGTCTCTCAATTCTGATTCGGTTTTATAGCATAATATTATTCAAAAAGAAACTCTTTTGTTGAACCTGCATGTTGTCCGGCACAAAACAGCGTTAAAAATTCTTACAGATTACAAAATATGTTTTTTTCGCAACGGGCAAAGATTATCTAGGTTTTTTGGGTCATTCCTAACATCCTTATAAAGTTTTCTCTAAGACGCCAGAAGCTTATTATGCTATAAAATCGTCAAGTGTTACCCGAAAACTTTTGCAACCCGGGTCCGGAAACCTTAGTTGCAACACATATATGTATAAGTATCTAGATCTGGTCTTGTAGTCCACACTGCGTTGGAAGCAGTTCGTTGAAGATGAGAGAGCTTGATAAAAAGAATAAGAAAATGAAGTGAACTTGCTGACTTTCAAATATTTCGAAACAAGGTGCCACGGGACATATTCGATGTAGGAAAACAAATAAAAGAAAAATAATTGTCATATCAAACAGCACTCTGCAGGTGTTCCAAATCCAAGGCAATGGACACATCAAAAGAAGGTTTAAGAGAACGAAACATTTTAAGCTAGCGTAGCTGTATCAGCAATGTGACATCACTAAGTGCAATAAAAACACTCCAACTGAATGAGTCATCATATGACACACCAGTGGGTATCATCTCTTGTTGCTACAAGAGTTTTCAGAGTAAGAATAAAAGCGTATGTTAGTTTCAGTTATTGTGTTATCAGCATCAGGCGAAAAATAAATGCACGTGATGCAATCGTTTGGCCATTACACGGGAGTCTACTTACATGAAAAGAGAATTCCAACACTTTTGGCAAACCTCACGAACTGCTTATACCCGCGTTGTTGGTTTTCCACTGCCGGAAATGGAAAACGCTCCGTGGAAAATTCAAACGCATTATGATACACTTTCCACATATACATTTGCTCCGGTCTAGGTCACGAACTTTTTTTAATTTATTTACACACATGGGGATATAATAGTAGCCGCAGCACCTATGTTAGTTATTAAATTTTCCATCATACAATTACTTAGTGTTATCTTCGTGATGACGGATAATGGATGAGTAGCTTAGACACATTGTACAGTTTGTTCGTTTGAATGGCCTGGGATCCCATGTACCCCGAACGGCCGAACTGTCCACCAAATATCAATGGATGTAAATTCGGTAGACTATGCATAGAAACAATTTCTGGAATTCAAATAAAATGACAAGTATGTACGTCTAATAATAGGAAGAAACTTATTTATTCGACTTCATTGTTAGCGGTAATTCGTGTGCAACAATATTTTAAATTAAAATTTAATGAAATGATCAGATTTTTTAAAAAATAACACATACCAATTGGCATCCAAGGTGAACTCAATTTGCAGCATCCAAGTAGCCTATTGAGTGTGACAACTGGGGATCTGTGCGTTTGTTGAATTTTACATATACCTTCTATACTCATTTATTACTTTATAAATTTGTCATCCTATTAAAATGTTTCATTTTCAGAATATTGTACTTCCAATGTTGAAGATGCACCACGGAAGAGCTTTAAATTAACGACTTGTTACTTTATTTCAAAGTCTTAAACTGTCCTTATCTATTGAATTTGCATCTGTTATGATGACCATGTTCTGGTATATGGGATTCCAGATAAATAAGAACATATGAAAACATACTGCTAGTAAAGAGTTTTCAGGTGAATCGAATTTTTCAAAGTTTGAATGCATGGAATGGATTGAAACTGAGACAAACTTCCCGATACAACTTATATCTCAAACAGTAGACTCACGCTAGCATTACGTCTAGCATCTTTGTATGTATATGCTTTTAAAAATGCATCATTGCTTTTATAAATTTTTTCATCTGAAAACTGATATCGTCTATCATACCTGGGTCGGCTTGAAATTTTTTTGAGACACCTTGATACCGTTATATCAGAACATCTTTTAGCCGGATCTTCTGAAATACTGTATTTATGAGTGAAGACATTCGCCAACGTAGTTCATTTTGACATTCGAAAGCCTATATTATCACTAATTTGATATAAGTTTAAACATTTTCTCCATAAACATACTCATAGTCTTAAATCCCCTTTTCAGTCGTTTATACTCGTAGAGCCAAAACTTGTTCTACTAGCAAATAGCACAGAAAAAGAGCGAAATACTAATAGTTAAAAGAAACATTATGAGAAAACGGTAGTATCATATAGAGACAGTATTAGAGACAGGGATAATGAAACCATATAAGGCAGTACAGAAATAAAATAAAATAACTGGAGAACGAGACAACGCGAAACGGTGTTTAGAATAACACTGGTAGTATGCTAAGGTGAAAGGCTCACCGCTGACAATGTATGAGTAGTCATAGGAAAATTCAACTTTGTTGAAGCCAAATTGTACTTAGAAAAGGCTGGATAAAGAGATCAGGGAAATACTTGTTAAATGTTATAATTTTTAAATAAATGAAGACGAGGAGACGAATAGCATTTAGTATGAACTATAAATAAACGGTACTGCAATGCCGCAAGCACTACCGTAGTGAGATTTGTAGCAGACAATCATAGGGTTTCGATGAATATGCCGATAATGAGCAGACATGTTCACATTGTGAATAACTTTGTCGAAAAGCTTGTTTCCACTATTTAAAACGATAATAACATTGATCTCAGTACCATTCATTCATGTCTATTTTTCCGTCCTCCTTTATCAGTTGAAGTGATCTGAAAAGTATGGCAGCCTCATTCCTCGGTCAACTTGTCCCTGACCCTGTGCTCCACTTTATAACACTATCCCCTACAAATATAGATAAGCATGCATTTAATGGTAATATATAGCAGTTCGGGAAAATAATATCCATAGACGTTCCTTCAAGAGTGGGGTGGTGATTCGAGTTCGACGCTTTCTACATACCTCCAGAAACAGAGTAGTGGAGGACATTTATCGTTATCATAATATAAGTGAGTCACCGTATCAACATTGATCAACATATTCCATCAGAAGACACCGAGGTGCCGTCAACCAGTTTTACGTCTTGACCACTACCTTTAGGTGACAGGGTTGCCACCTCTCTCACTATTGCCGCAGGTCATGGGATTTTCTTTCAGATATTTTGGGAATTCGCAATCTTAGGAATAATTACGATATAGGTTGTAGGGTGATATTTTCTTGGATGAGAAACAATTTTTCTTTCAGAGGAAAATGGAGGCTGCTTTTATTAATTTGTTAAGAGACTGATTGCGATCCTACTTGACAACATACCAGTATCGATGTAAAATTTATCTGAACGTCAAATAGAGTTGGGCATCCTCTTGGAGAAACAAAGCTATAACGTTTTTAAGAAAATGGCGAGAGTGGAGAGTGTCAACAGGTTAGTGACACTCTCACCAGTTATTCAAGACCGAGTATATTTCATTTTACTACAGCTTCGTTCTATGACACTCATCCCCATATGTCTGTCACCCAGTCAGTCCGGTAATCCTTGGCCCCTCTATAACATGGAAGGTACTGCTCGAATTTGGAAGAAACTTTTACTTTGCCAACGACAAAAAATCGTTGTAGTTTTTTTAAATCGCTCAATCGCTATATTTCAATTTTTTGATGTTGTACTACCAATCAATTATTTATACACTCCCAGCCCCGGTAATTCTACACTCATATTAGTGATATTTCACACATAATAGGTCTCCCCGTTCATTTTGTTTTAAAACTGACCAAAAAGTGTTTTCGATACGCGTCTCCTTCTGCTATCTGGGCCCAGTGCCGGCGTAACAGTTTAACGGCGGTGCTGCGATGAGCACTGCCGCATCTGACGTTGCCAGGCGGACGGTAACTACCGGTAGAGCAGGAAAACAATGTCTATGGACTAACTGTGTGAGTCTATTTGACTTGATCCGTTTAAGTTATGCTGAGCATGTTGGTAACAAATGGTTTTTCTTCTCAGATGGTTTAACTTGTGCTAAACTTAATCCTGATGACGGCGTTGCCTACGAAGTGCACAGTCAACCTAATGAATATTAAATGAATTTAGTCTGATTTTTGTACAGTTAGACAAAGACGCAAAGGGCTGGCGAACCCGCCTGGCAAACATAGGACGCATCGACGTCATGAAGCCTAGAAGCCTAGATAAACAAAGTTCGTTGATACATCAGTACAGAACCAATAGGTCAGGAAACTATAAAAATAGACAGACATGCATCCAAGTGAGAAGCTTCATGTGTTTTTTTTTTTCATTTCCCATTAGGAACGGGCATGGGGTGCGCCAATGCCAAACACGTATTTACATAACACCAAGGTCTGAGGATAAATGACTCCCTTTTTAGATTTGCATTAATCAGCATATTTTTGGTGTAAATAGGAAGTGGAGTTCCTTTACATTGGAAAACTCGATTTTGTAGTCTGAGCATTCAATAAATATAATCCTTTTTGTTAAGAAAGAATCAATCTTCTGATCTTTCTTATACCCTGGTCGAAGTATTATGTACGTATAAATACATTTATAAATTATTAGAGGTGAATCCAGCAAATACAGGATATTTCCTAAGCAAGAGGCAAACCTTAAAGGGACTGAATATATAGGCAAAGTATTCGCAAAATAAAATTTTTTATTAGCAAACATTACAATTTTTAGGTTCTTGACTATACCACATTGCTTTTGGGGGAATTAAAGCCACATTTACTTGGCGAGGTGCAGGATTCATCGTATGTTTAATGAATCGGGATTTCTAAATTTAGATATTATATTTTTGAATGTTATATAACATCTACATAAGAAAAAACAATGTCACTCCGTCGGTCTGTCTGTCTGTATCTTGGAAAGAACCGCTCGAATTTTGATGAAGTTTTCACACAAGGTTACTGCTATGCCAAGAACGAAACAGCTTCGTAGTTTGTGAAAATCAGTCTGCAGGCGGCAAAGCTTCAGGTGAAATGTTAAATAAATAAAGATAGCTGATCCTCCATTTTTTGGCATTTCAGATACTCCTGATCATTTTCAGAGATTTTTTTGTAGGAGGTGGGGAAGGATACATCTCAATTCTTTAGACTTATACCCTTCCAGCCCCGGTAATTCTACATACCTATAAGACATGAATTTTCTCGTTATTTGTCATTGGGTGTCTGTGTTTAACAGTCGGTAGTGGCGGCCGTACTGCCGTGGATGACGAGCCATAGTAAGTTTCATGGGCATCCGCAAGAATTTTTGTTTTTGTCAGGTGGGAGGAGGAGGGAAGACTTTCGTAGGCAAAAGATAACTTTTTCTGAAAGTGTACGCATCTCCAAAACTTATTGAAGAGCGTGAGTTAGCAAATTTTCCTACGCTGCGGCAAATCCATAAAATCCCCAACATTTTTTAAGTTTTAATTATATGAGCCTGTTTGGCTAACTTCCATTTAATTTTTTGTTATACTTGTTCATACCTTTTTTTATTATATCCTTTATTAACTGATGACAGAATTACGTAGGAAGTGCAGAGCAACTTTATACTTGGCGCTCTTACTTTCTATTCAATTGTCAGAATTTAGGTTGGCCCCTAGGGTCCTCCAACCGTGGTTCCGGCACTGAGACTTCTCTAAGACCTCTTACAACGGAGCAAACTTAAATAATTGTACTAACCTGACTTTTTAAAAAAAACATATAATACAAGCACATGTTCAGTAGCGATCTTCATAAAGTAACACATTAAGAATTTTACTGCATTCACTATCAGAGTACAGTACATAGCATATTACCATAAAAAGCTTGATTTATAACACATGGTTAGCCTAGACAGTCATTTGTGGTGCATCAATAATGTACGTTAATGGTTATCTGTCGGTTGACATTTTTTTAATAGTAATAATGGATCCCAAAAGCACTGGCTGCTACCTGCGTGTGACAAAAAATTTATAATAGATTGTCTAGACCTAGACAGTGTTCTGTCTGAATGTTTCTATATGCCACGTAAAACGTAACATATATAATCATCAGGTAGGT